TCGTTGCTGGCTCCAAAAAGCCCTGGCTCCCATAGACCTGAATTGGAAAAGAAGTGAACACAGATCAAGAAATACAGGATTCCTACAGCTCAGGATTTTTTTCTTATTAGTTTTCATAGTCAAATTCAGAGATCAGGTGGCCAATGAAATAAATCAATACTGAATTTTTAAAAAATCGTCAAAATTGTGCGGGACAAGGGGCGTGGCTGGCTTGATTGACAGTCGGCAGCGACAATGCAGATGAAGCGAGCAGAAGGCGGTAAATGTGGGCGGGCAGAGAGGGCCTGCCTCTCAATCCGTCTGACCAATCGCTGCTCCTATGGTTCCTCAATTTTCTCAATTTGACCCGGACCGTACTGTGAAGAATTCCTGTCACGATTTCCCTCATAGTAGGTGTCTATACCCAGTTTTAAACTACAGATGTATTTACAATGTCTAAATGTCATATTAATAAATGTAAATAGAAAATGCACGTTAAACATGGTCTGTACAGTTTCACAGTTTTAAGATTCCCTAAAACCACAATTTTCCTTGATTTGAGCCACACTGGGAGATGTGAAATCCATCTCATGGATACGGGTGAAATTTGACCTGAAACAGCCTCAGTGAACAAAAATGTGTAGCACCTGTACAAAAGTATAACATTTTAAACTATTTTCATTTCAATTTTCATGTCAATTTAACAAAAGTCACCAAATATCTGGCTAATTGAAGGACGTTTAGTGTATTTTCCCTGCTGTTAAATGTCAAAATGGGTCAAATTTGGCCTGAAACAGTGTGTAAGGTTTAACTTAGCGGCTAGCAGCTAATGTCATGATTCCTGGTGATGGCTGAGATTCTTGTACACTTTTGGCAGATTGTGTCGCTGCTAAAGAGACATGTCTGTCAGTTAGAGCAGAGTGTTAAAGTTTATCTGACTTTAGGAAGATGTTACAGTGCTCCAGATAGTGTTAGCCACTTAGGCTAAAGGACACAGCCTCCATCAGCAAAGTAAGTCCCACATGCACCACTTGTTAACACCTAATTTACCAGAGCTGCTCTGCTCTGCAAATGGACTTGTCAGTCCCGGTCTATAATCAATGGCTTTCATTGATTGGATGTTATTCATGACATGTAATAGTTAATCACATCGCAGTTTGGCACTGTTGCCTAGCAGCAAGAAGGTCGCTGGTTCGCGTCCCGGAGTTTGCATGTTCTCCCCGTGCAGCGTGGGTTCTCTCCGGGTTCTCCAGCTTCCTCCCACAAGGTCCAAAAACATGCTGAGGTTAAATGGGTGATTCTAAATTGTCCGTTGGTGTGAATGTGAGTGTGCTTGGTTGTCTGTCTCTAAATGTAGCCCTGCGATAGACTGGCAACCTGTCCAGGGTGTCCCCTGCCTTCACCCTAAGTCAGCTGTTAGGCCCCACCCCCCCGTGACCCTAATGAGGATACAGCAGTGTATAGATAATGGATGGATGGATGGATGGATTTTTGTTATGAAAAACTTTAATAACAGTATTAGTTTTGGTTGCTAAAATTAATACTGCTGTTGAGGCTCAAAGTTTTGCAGCACAAATAAAAAATACCATTGCTCTCAGATGCAGCAGTAAGTGCACCACTGTCTTAAAACAATTGCTGTAACATTGATGTAACTTACTTTTATATGGGTTGTGTAATCTAACTGTAAAAATGGTTCCTGATGGAGAAAGGACCTGATCCTTGTAGGATGGTGTCTGAGATTCCAGCCCAGTTTTCCACACTGTCTTGTATGCATCTAAAGTGAACTCTTAAATATGTGTATGCTTTTTGTGACAATACAGCTTAGTTTTTACTGATATACTCCCACATCATAAGATGTTACTCTGCTTGTCTTGATGACTTTCCCATGGCCTGTTACCACGAGCCCCTGAGCCTTTACACCAAGGATGGCATTATTTGAGTAGAGTGCTTTCCTCCATATAAGGTAAACAGCAGCACAGTAGTGGCTTGGAAATGAGGTCTGTAATCTGAGACCCATCACTTTTTCTACTCTCACTCACAGTCCAATGTGCTCTCAATATAACTTTGTCATTGCACATATGCTGCCTTTTTATCAGATGACACGAATACAAACACACACTGTGTATGCCTTCATTAACAAAAGTTTTTGTGTATTCAGTATTTAAATGAATTGCTTTTACTTTGATTACTTATTTACTGTAGTCTAGCACTGTTAACTTAAAACTATTCTTAACAACATTGTATATTTTACGAATAAAAAATTAAGAGATGAACATTTTTCATAAATTGACAACTGTCTATTTAATCCACTCTTTCTCTCTTAAGCCTGGGGATATGGAACATTGCTGGCTTCCTCAGTTTGTCTAATAATGCCATTCTGTTAACAGACATGAATCACTTTTCTGTTCATGTTTCTCACAGCTTCATGTAGACATGCACCCTCAGCGCTGGAGAGCTACAGTATACACAGTAGTTTTCATTCACAAGAGATTAGACAATACGTCAGGTAATATACCATGTGTAATAATGTAATACCAGACTAAAACTAAACTCATAGCATCTTATCAAAATATCCAAACAGCCCAATTTAGTTCTGGTCACTTAAACATTAAAACTGAAAGCCCAGGTCTCAACCTGAAGGCTGCAATCTAACCAAATATTAAACTGCAGTTGATAAACTCTGATACTGTGTGACAGTTCCCCTGTCTGAGCTGAAGAAATGTACACGATGTGACATTAGATCCTGTTTGATTCTTTTTTTCATGTCAGGGACAGTTTTTATTTATAACTTATAAATAAGCGTGCACAACTCTCTCTCTCTCTCTCTTTGGAGACACTGATATGGATCCTGCTACTGTCTGATGCTGCAGGTATTTAACAAATAAAAGAAAGGATCTTATACAGTTGGAAGTAACAGGCTAAACTGCTTTTCTGTGTGTGTGACAGTTTACCTGTCTGATGTAAAGACATGTAGGCCTTCACACTGTGGCTTGCCACTGAACCGTTGCCCAGATTGATCTACTTTCCATAAATATTGATGTTGAAATGTGGGAAAAGCTTTTTCTAAATCACCTTCTACCACTTAATGCATCACTGTTTGTGTGTGACAGTTGATAATGTTAATGTGATTTAGTTCAGACTTTAGTTCAGCTTGTGTTGTTTTTGAAAGTGATGAAGAAAAATTACCTGGTCAACATAGAAACATTGATGGCACAACTTTTATGGAAACATGATCAGGATGTACATTCAGACGCAAAGCCGATATATAATATAAATTTGAATATGACCCTCATGTGCGTAGCACACCAAGTTAGAACAATGATTTATACTGAGGTAACAACAATAGATTCTAATAGATAGACACAACACACAGAGCCCACATAGCTTCTTCAGTACACTCCAACTTCAGAGTTTAAAAGCTGCAGGAAATAAAGGCTGTGGACAAAATGGTGTTTCCAGTCAGGCTGCCCTCAATTATTCTGTGCATTTATAGGACGTAACAGATCATGGGCAAAAACGTACACAGCAAGAAACAAACAAACAATAAAATGTGATAGCTGAGAGGGTGGTGACTGATTTGTTATAAGATCCTTTTCTCTCTTAAAACTAGTCCTAGCTAGCTTTGAAAATTGTCATATATATGAATAATCTTCAAATGCCTGATCAGGCTTGATGTGTTTATTGTCTTATTCAGACATGTGGTAGAACTGCCAGACTGTTCTGGCAAGTAAAGCCATTTTAGCTTTGCATAAAGAAATTGTCTCCCTAGCTGTAGATTTGTTGGAGAATTTGCATGGATTACTCTCCCAGCCAGCTTTTCAACCTAGTGGACTGGTGCTGAAGTTTCAAAATGGGTCTTACATTTATTCATATCCACTCACATTAATCTACCATTTTCTGTCAAACAATGGTACAAGACGAAAAACTCTTACTTACACTATCATTATAATCAAATGGATTCTTCTTAGAGGTTTTAGGATGAATGTCTATTTACAGAAATTATTTTTTAATAAAAAGATAAAATGTTTAAAAGTGGTCAAAACTGATCCGAAAAGGCCCAAAAATGATGGAATTAGATTTTAAAATGTGGGAGACCTGAACAGACCCCAAGAAAGAAAGTTATGTAACTCTGTCAGCAGCATTATTTTCCACAAAAAAGCAATTAGCTGCAGTAGAAGAGAGCAGCATGTCAATTTTCATTTCACAGGCAATGTAGTTGAATGATGTTGCAAAAACAGGGTGTACATTTTTAGGCAGTCTCTCCAGGAAGACAGTCATACTGTTGCACTTAGTTGTTCATATGAAAATTTCCATCAGTAATTGTGTTGCAAATAAAGAGCTAGAAAGAGAATTTTTTTTCTTGACAAGCATGAAAAAAACTAATGGTAAGCTGTCTGTCAGACAGAGGTCTTAGTTGCACGCTTGACATTTTGGCCTCTAAATGCTACATGCAAATTGGAAATGGACTGAACTCACATCACGCTCTTTTAGCTTGACGGTTTATAAGGAGCTTTACAATTGGAATTTCTCATTCAACAATTCCCACACATGCTCACACAGAAATTCCAGGAGAGCTGCATGCAAGGTGCTCACTGAACGTTGGGAGCAACTTGTTGTGTCTGTCCCAAGGGCACTTTGGCATGTGGATAGAAAGATCCGGTGTTTCAACTTCCAGCCTGCTGTTAGTGGACCTACCATCTGAGCAACAGCTCAAAAATTGAACAGTCTGTTTATATTTGAACATTTCTTGCTTTTAAAGAGTAGCATTAGCACACTGCTGATCACACCTAACCTGCTAGTTGTATTCAGAGGTATCACAGCCTGAAAGTTTCGACCTGACAGGCCAGGGATCCACTGCTGTTCAGCCTGCTGGCCTGCTGTTACGTTAGTCTTGAATACTTAAGTCAGTCTGTTCAACCTGCAACTTTCAATTAAGTGGCATGGGTGTGAAGAAACATACCTTTCTTTCTTCTTCTGTCTGACTGAGCTGATCTTCCTCTGCTCTGCGTTTTTTTTCTCAGATGGTCAGGTGATTCCACTGGTGGAGTTGTCAGCGAAGCAGGTCGCGTTCCACATCCCGTTTGAGGTGGTGGAGAAGGTCTATCCCCCTGTCCCGGAACAGCTGCAGCTCCGCATTGCCTACTGGAGCTTCCCTGAAAATGAGGAAGACATCAGGTGTGAATGTGATAATATCACTTTCTTTTCTTCATCTCTAATCAGGCATGTGCCGATGACACGTACAATCGGCAGATGTCATTCAAGATATGTTTTTTCCCCGTATACAGTGTTTTACAGCAGTTTACATACACTCATCATGGGCATGAATTTAATGGCAATACTGGGATTTGTTTTTTATTTTTTGTCAGCCTTTCTTCTTCTGGGGCAGAATTATTGTACAATGTGAATTCTTAGCAAAAAAAAACTTAAAGTTGGTGTGCAAGGTTTTATTTATTTAGTTTAGGGTCTTCTGAAATCAACACTAGATCAAAACTACACATAGGTTAGATTGACTGAAAGCTCTAAAATGTCTTTCAACTTAACACGATTGATATGAACATAACTGACCATAGCTTCTAGCTTCACTGTACAAACATGAAAAGCATTTCCTTGACATCACTCACTGGATTCACCAACGCACAGTACAATGGGAGGGTCCGTGCAGATCTTAAAAAGAAGTTCATAGATTTACACAAGTCAGGAGTGTCTTTCGGAACCAGCTATAAACAACTGTAGATTCCAAAATTATCAAGCCAAACAACTGTAAGTTACTACAGTTCTGCCCACTTAATGTCATACCGCTTTATAGAATATCCCGTTTATAATCATGAAATATCACAATCCTGAATCGTTTCCTATATAACCTACAGTAAAACAGCCCGTTTATTGTCATAGAATAATTTGATAATCCCAGTTTTTGTCTTAATGAAATTCCCCAAAATTGATTCCAGGAATAATTTTGCCCGTTTAAAATCATGGTCGGTTGATCATTACAGCTCACGGGCCAAGCCTCAGTCATGCCTGGCAGATTGTCACACCCCGGTCAGCTGCGGAAGGCAATGTGTTGGTTTGTCAATTACCTGCTCACCTGAGATCTGCTTCACTGAGTTATTCACGTATCGTCTGATAAAGGCCATGTAGATTGTGCTGGTCCAGTACATAGGCTAGTTTTCACACCCAAACTCACTGCCATCTTGAAGCCCACTTATTTGAATATCCCAGATACAGTCATAATTCCATCCTGGACCGAGGGTATGGTAATAAATGGGCAGCACTGTATAACCTATTGCTAAGACCTGGAATAACAACCAAACTCTCCCCCTCATCTGAGAGGAAACTGTTAAGGATAGTCAGGAACAACCCATGGTAAAGGCTCAGGCTGTCTCGTACAGCAGCCCCTGCTCCATAATTGACACCTGCTAATTTCAACCTTAAGCTAACCACATGAACAAAGAAAAACCCTTCTGAAGGAAAGTTTTGTGGTCAGATGAGACAAAGATCGGTAGCCTGGGAGGTAGTAGGGAGACATTGACCCCAAGAACATTAGAACAAGCATTAAGCATGGCAGGATCAGTGAAACTGGCCCATTGCTCAAAGTTGATGTAATAATGGAAGATGACCGCCACAGAATTCTTTAGCATAGCCACAGACCATCAGCTAGATGGTTGAAACTTTACGCAGTTGGGTGTTCCAACACTGATCCCAAACACACATCAAAGCTGGTAGTGGAGTGGATAAAGCAACCTTTTGCATGGCCCTCCCCAGTTCTAACCACAACTCTAACAAAAATATGTGGACTGTGCTTAAAAGGCGGTATCATGCCAGGGTATCAGTAGCTTATTGATGGTTACCAAAAGTGTCTGGTCATGGCGCATCTTGCTAAAGGACGTTTAACCAAATATCACGTGTGCTGTAATTATATTTTCACTCTGCTTGTAGAATTTTGAACTTGTGTTGATTTCAGAAAATTCTAAATTAAAACTTGTGTCCAGGATTGTTAGGGATTTCTCTGCTGACTCCTCTGAAGGAATTGCAACCTTCAGCTGCTGAGATTGGAGAGACTGTGCGTATAACAACTGTTTCCCCTTCTTCACCAGTCAAAGTTTTTTGGAAGAGAGGCAAAGAGAAAGTGGGTAAAAAATGAATGAAAGAGGGCAAAATGAATGCAGTAAAGTTTAGGGTATTCCTGGAAGATGGCCGGATGCAGTCTCCAAAAGATACGTAACTTGAAAGATAATCTTTTTTCCAACAACACAGTGACCTGAAGCAAACAGCTGGAGCTACATAGAAATGGTCAATTCAATAAGGTGAATGTCCTGGAGTGGCTAAGTGAGGTGTCCAGATCTCAATCCAATTGAGAACTTGCGGCTGAACTTGAAAAGGGCTGTTCACTGACATTCCCTGTGAAACCTGACAGAGCTTGAGCAGTTTTGCAAAGAAGAATGAGGTCAAATTGCAGTGTACAGATGTGCAAGGCTGGTTGAGACCTATTCACACAGGCTCAATGTTGTAACTACTGCTGTAATTTTTATAGGCACTGTAAACTTCTGACTACCATTGTATTAACAGAAGACAACTCAAATGATGTGTTTGTGCACAATTTCTGCTCTGCATAGCATTGCAGTTTAAGCATATCCAATTAGTGTCCTAAGAGAAGTTGGACTAATGAGAGAATCTCCTACAGTTCTCCTTGCCGTCTCATTTCTGTAAACACACAAGTATCATGACACATTTCCCACAAAGTTTACAAGTACATACTCTCCTGAAAAACGTTGGCATTCAGCTGCTATAGCCACAGCTGGATAAAATAATTACCATGCTGCAACAACCAAAGCATGTCACTGTGATTATTGATTATTGTGCTGACTAATTTAGGAATGTGTAAGATATAACCTGAGAAACATGAAATATGTCAGGCTGAGAAAAAAACATTTTTTTCTGACATCAATGAATGAATGTAGTAATTTCTTAAACTACAAAAACATTTTTTTGTTTGATATTGTCAATACTATACTCTGAAGCAGTCAGATTTTAATGTAAGATGTATGCATACTCTATGAGAAAGATAGCCTGAAAATATCTCAAGAAGAGTACTGAAATCTCCCATATCAACCTATCTGCCATACAAGTACTGACCATAAACTCAAGAGGTGTTTTGCACATGTCACAGTTTCTGTTTAATTTATTTCTGTTTTTTATATTCGTAAAAATGAAAGACAATAGTACTTTATCAGTTGAAGTAAAGTGCATTTCAATGTGCGTTTGCTATGGGGTCTGTGTTTACTTTTTCCCCTTAAAAAATCATGTGATTTTCCCTTTGCCTCTCCATTTCTTTATTGGTGTTTTTTGTCTCTCTGTCTCAGGCTGCAGTGGTGGATGACCAACAGATAAATAAGTGATGAACCCAAAGTTTAAAACTGAGTTTTTTTTTCGCCTTGTTAAAGGTTATATTCCTGCCTGGCTAATGGGAGTCCAGATGAATTCCAACGAGGAGAGCAGCTCTACAGGATCAGAGCTGTCAAAGACCCCCTGCAGATTGGTAGGTTGAGTAATCATTCTTTCCATTTCTGATGTGAGCTGTAACAGGATGACTAGAGTATGCTTTACTCAGCTGAGTGTGTTAAATGTAGAGCAAAGACAGTGTACTTGTTTCCTTGCCCAACTCATTCCTGTTGTCTTCCGTTACTGTGTCTCTTCTACCAGGCTTCCATCTCAGTGCTACAGTCGTTTCCAGTCAGTCCGGTCAGTCTAAAGGGGCCTACAATGTGGCGGTCATGTTTGACCGCTGCCGTATCACCTCCTGCAGCTGTACCTGTGGCGCCGGGGCCAAATGGTGTGCCCATGTGGTGGCACTCTGCCTCTTCAGGATCCATAATGTAAGTTTGTCTACATAAAGGAATTTTATAGAATTGTTGGTCAGACAAAATGAGTAAGATGATGATGTCTTTTTCCTCTGCAAATTCCTTCAGTTGATATATATATATATATATATCACTAATTCACTACATATGTCATCTCAAGGCAGTTTGTTGAGTTGTAGGTGAGGTAAGACCTCTTCATACAGAGAAAACCAGCAAAACCAAAGTTTTCTTTGGAGTCCCTTTGAACAAGAAATTGGTGGCAGTGGGAAGGGAAACGAAACTCCCTTTTACCAGGAATGGCAAAAAAAAAATACCTCCAACAGAACCAGGCCCAGGGAGGGTGGCTATTTGCCTCGACCAGTATCTTTGAGGCGGGCCTTTTTTTTCCCAAAAAACTGATAGCTTTTGTCAGATGATGTATTGCTATGATCATTTTTAGTCCAGAGGTATACATTCAGTGTCCTACAAATATTGTAGACATTTGATATTGAAAGAACGAATGACTGTGAAATTAAAGTGCAGAATTTGAGCACCATACATCCATATGCACATTGGCAGAAACTCAGGGGCATTCTACAACATCCTAAGGATTCAAAATTCCAACTTGGATAAGCTTTTGAGCAGCACTGGAAACCCCAGGTGTCGTTCCGTGAACCTTACTTTCACTTTCTGTACCATTTTCCAACAAAACAACTTTCAGTGTTCATGTCTCTCTTAGTCTACAGGACACAAAGCATAAATATGGATATCGAATGTAAATGTTTGTTAAAGTCATTGTGTCACTTTCAGTCTCAAATTGCACAGTGGTCAATTGACATACTCGCATGTTATAACACTTGGATCAAAATGACACAGTTCTGTATGTCAGTTGGCATTGTCACTCTTCCGCATAAAGTCAAAATGATATAATAAATAGCCAATCAATTTTTGGGTGGACCCCAAGGGAAGCTAAATTGAAAATACCCTAAGCCCTAAGCAGTACCCACAAAACTGCACTGAGGTTTTCCCCCTCTATAAAAAGAAATAATTTGATAGGACATAGAATAGAATAGAATAGAATAGAATAGAATAGAATAGAATAGAATAGAACTTTATTGATCCCTTTGGTGGAAACCTCAGGGAAATTGTTGAACCTCAGGGCAATTGTTGCATAAGGATAAAGTGGTAGGCTTCAAGCTAGATCTTTACTGTTTGTAAGCTGATGTTATTACTTGTTGGTGCTAACTTCTTTTCGTGCTTGCCTGACCCACCTGAAAGGTTTTATCGTTATTGGTTAAAATGTTATTATAATCAGTATATATTATAATCAGTCAGGGCATTTTACTATTGGTCAAGTTATTATTTATTTAATTTTTATTGCATTTTCAATTAAGTATTGCATTTTAGTAGACTGCAACATTATTAGGTTATACAGGTTGGGTTTTCTTTATTGCTGGAGACCCAGAGGGTTTCCTGTAAGGAGTTGATGGCCTCTCTGACTGACAGAGCCTGATATACAGTGATTGGGATATGCCTAGGCATATAAAACTCGTCTTTTATGTTAAAGAATGTGCACCAGCTAGAATCCCAACAGCAATAGGTAGTGGTCAGGGCACATACTAACATACTACATTGCGTGCAAATACTACCAGCAGTGAGTTTCCAATTCGATTCCTATGTGTGCAGGCCTCAGCAGTCTGCCTTAGGGCTCCAGTCTCTGAGTCTTTGTCCAGGCTGCAAAGGGACCAGCTCCAAAAGTTTGCCCAGTACCTCATCAGTGAGTTGCCGCAGCAGGTAATATTCATATTCTGAACCAGCTGTTCTTTTTAGAAACCAAACTATTAAACAAAATTAATAATATTACTATGATGTACAGGTTATATACAGGATATAACAAAGAAAGTTTGTTATGTTTCCAGATCCTACCCACAGCCCAACGTCTGCTGGATGAGTTGCTCTCTTCGCAATCTACTGCTATCAACACTGTTTGTGGAGCTCCAGGTACAAAGCACATTGTTCCTAACATATAGCAAGAGAACAAACTTGAGCCATGCTGATATGAGCTTTGTCATATTACAACCACAGCAGAAGTTAAAGTCATTCATTTCTGTCTTTTACCTGAAAAGAAAAAATGGGGTCTTTGCATAGTGACTGTTACTTTTGCTGAGCCATGCTGTGAGCACCTGCAAGCAGTCGAGCTGTGCTGACTGAGTATGAGTGTTTTTTTTCTCGACACCAGAGAGCAAGGTAAAGATGTTTTCTTAAAGCTCCGTTAACACAAGCACACAATATGTTTTGACATACTGAATAGGCGGCTGCACGGTGACCAACGCGGTGGTTAGCACTGTTGCTCCAGACCTCCCCACTATAGACAAGGAATGGATAACTGAATAGTTGTGAAAGAAACTTAATAACATTAAGAGCATCACATAGCTTTAACAGATCAGCCACAACATTAAAACAGTCAGGTTAACTGAACTGATCATCTTGTTACAATGTGCTGCTGGGGAACCTTGGGTTCTGACATTCATGTGGGTGTTACTTGGACATGTACCACCCCCTAAACGCTGTTTCAAACCAATCACATACACCCACACCCACCCACACATACTGCAGCAGCACTCCCAGATCCCAAACACTGCTCAAGAATGACTCCAGGAATGTGATAAAGAGCTCAAGGTGCTGACATGGCTTCCAAACTTTCCAATTACCAATCCAATTGAGCATCTGTGTGTCACGTCATAACAAGCTTGATTCACAGAAGTGCCACTCTGCAACCTACAGCACCCAAAGGATCTACTGCCAGTGTCCTCAGTCAGATAACACAAACATCCCCAGAGGTCCTATTTCCATTTCCATTTCCAACCAGAGCTGGTTTGGTAACACAAGGGGACCTACACAATATTATGAATATCACATGTGGAGCGTTGTTACAAGAGATGACTGTCACAGTCCCCAAACGGTAACATTTTCACTGTGGCCACGTGTTGGTACAGTCTAGCTGATACGGGAAAACATTTTCTTTTTTTCATAAAAACAGTTTGGGTCCCTGAACATTTTCAGAAATGGTGTGGTGACACTTGTGGCCATTTTCCTTCTCCGATATCCAGGGGCACACTTTGAGGGGGAAATCCCAGTACCTGAGAACCTGAGAGTTGAGTTAATAATGTCACATCTTTTGCTTTCATGTTGTATAAAGTTTTAAGAGCTTAATCCTTCCGTTCATTTACCCAGATGATACAGTGACTGTAAAAAGAATGTGTCAAACACAAAGATTTTCACCTCAATAGGCACTTTTGGTAACCAAAGGCACCACACATTTTCTCCTCCAAGAACATTTCTGCTCATTGCGGCGAAACAGCTCAATTCTTATTTCATGTGATCACAAAATCTTTCTTCAGAAGGCCTTTTCTTTGTCCACATGATTAGCAGCAAACCTCAGTCTAGCCTTAAGGTGCTGCTTCTAGAGGAAGGGCTTCCTTCTTGAATGTAAGCCTCTCAGTCCATGGCGAAACACAAAACACACTTGACTGTGGACACTAATACCTGTGTTCCCATAGCTTCTTATTTATTGCAGATCTGCTTTTTGGTCATTCTTGGTTTACTCTTGACCATCCTGACCAATTATCTGAGATGTTAAGAAGCCATGCCACTAAGAAAATTTAATTAACACAACTTTCAACATCGCCAAAACTAATAATTCAAGTTGCTGTACGTACTTATTTCTTTTTTTTTTGATCCAGGAGACTTCGTTATATTTCCAGAAGACCTATCCATTTCAATCTATGAAAGACCCCAAATGCACGATTGCTTTTGTGACAAAATTGCATGTGTTCAAACGATTCATGTTATTTGACTGTCTTGTATCTTCTATTTACATTTACTACATGAGTGAAACAATGCTTTAAACTAACACTGTACATGGTTGTTTCTGCCTGCACTGATGTGTCTTCAATTTCCCACACTGACACAAAAATACCTTTGCCAGTGATGATCTAACTCCACTGATGAAGTGAATCCATGTCATTACCATTTTAAGTTTCAAATTGAGCACTTCGGTAAGAATACTGATTATACAGTTTGGCGTTAGGGTTGCTTTGATATACAGCTGTTAAATTAATCTGTGTCCTTTTGAATTTGATGTCCATCTTTTTTCTAATCAGGCATTACTGACAGAAATGCAACATTTAAGTTGAAGTTAGTTAATGAGTTACTTAAAGTGTTGTTAATGTATTTTGTATTAAATGAGTAAAAAAAAATGAGAGTAATTGATATATTAGTCACTCCACTAATTATTATATTTTTTTTAAAACAACAGTTACATTAATTGATACATCTAAGCAATCCACTCCCGATGGCGTGCTCTGATGGCTGACAGACTTTGGCTGGTGTTGGGTCCATGTCCTGTGACACCAGGTGCTGGCCAGCCATTCCCAACAATAACCGTCCCCATGCTTTGGCCTGGTCGGCCTTTTGCACCTCTGGTGTTTACTTGCTTTCTTTTTTTTATGTATATGAAAGTGAGATCATTACTTGATTCTTTCTTTATTTTTGTGTACATTTTCTGCGTGTTTTTCATTGTTAACGTCAAAACCTTTCGCGTACCTGCGTACTTTGATAAATAGACTATAAGTGGTTACATTTAAAACCTTTTTTTCTCCTGGCCTATATTAAAAATGATCATTAATTATCAATGATGTCAACTTAAAACATTTCATCATGATAGACTTTTCAGCTGTATCACTGAGCCCTAGGCTTTAGCTTGTCTCTCAACCAAACTGGTTAGACCTAAGGGGATATGAGAAAATTTGCGTTTTAATGTTAACATTTTGATTTTGAACCCAACGCAGTCACTGTTGAGTACAGAGTAGTTCCCATAAGCAGTTGGTCATTCAATGAGAAAGCTGTACTGGAGGCCAAGCAATCAACCCATTTTCTACAGGCACTGTACAAATCTTTTGTTAAGCTGAGAATGGCATGTTGATTTATGTTCTACTCTATACAGGTCCAATATTGTCAGGGTTATTGAACAGACCAAATAATATAAAATCTAGACTCAATTCTTACACACTGTGATTACCTTTTCATTGCAGTCTTTGAATTACAGTCAACTATTCACCTGAAGAGTTTGTGATGTTGCACATGGACATTAAACAATATGGGCAGAAGTTCCTTTTTGTGTGTTATTTTCCTTCAGGATATATGATGCAACATACATTATATGGATATAGTAGAAAGTGAATTGGCCACTACATTGTGCTTTTGCAAACATTGCATTTCTGAAAATGTTCAGGGCTCCAAACTGTGCAAGTGTACCAAGTTTTATTTTGCATCCACCTTGAAGTCTGTGCTCATATTCAGATGTCTGTCTTTGAGCTGCTAAGATCAATTTAAGGTGCTCCCTTCTTTCATTCCAAATGCTCCGTGACACAGTTAGTTGTCTGGCTTTTGGTTGTCTCATCCTCCAACTCAAGCGCTAAGTATATCTGTATACAACTCTTGATCTGTTTTTATTCCGCAAGTCTCAGTGTTACCTGCACTGCACCAACAATTCTATATGTTGTGGTCATCATTCAGTCCGCCCTGTACTTATAACTCATACTGTCAGATTTTCAGAAATTGGGCATCAACTTGGTACTGAAGTATCAGTTCTTGTGGCAACTCTTGTGAGGAGTGGAGGTGGCGAGAGGAGTGTTTTTGTTGTTGGAGTAATGTTTGGTTAGCACATAAAAAAGGAAATGTAATTTCCCTCTCGGACCTATTGTGCTGTAATAGGGAAAAAGAGATTTTTTTTTTCTTTTAAACCAATTTTTCTGCTTGGAGTACTGTGACACAAAATTACAAAGTTTCCTATTTCTATCTTTCATAATAAATTAGTTTTTCTGTGGATGTCTTAGTCAACTAAAACTTGAATTATTACTCTGTCTGTCTGTCTGTCTGTCTGTCTGTGCATGTCTGTGCGTGTCTGTGTGTCTGAAGACCCAACGGCAGGCCCTTCAGCATCTGATCAGAGCACCTGGTATCTGGATGAGTCCACACTTAGCGACAACATCAAAAAGACGCTACACAAGTTCTGTGGACCTTCACCTGTTGTTTTCAGGTACACGCTACTCATCTGACATGATTCTACTTAATGCTTTTGATTGTATTTCATAAGGACAGAAACTTACTGAAATTAAAAGGTCTATACTTAAATGCTTTCCTGGCCTCTTTCAAATGTACACTACAATTTTACAAATTTTACACAGTAGCCCTTTGTTGGAAAACTTCCCAGAGAACACACATGTGGTGGTTTGTTAATCAGAGGTTTCCAAAACACTTGTAGAGTCTGAATTGAATGTGGGCACAATTAAGGGTAGCTAAAGGAATACTTGTTATAATACTGTGTATATTTATAGGGCTCTAGTGTTATCCAGATAAAACACAAGAAAATAACTTCTGTTGGGTATGTTTCTTCATTTTGATTAGCAACGGAGTTTTAGTTTATTTACATCTGAACTCTGTTTTAACTCCTCTTTCTTCTTCATTGATGTGCATCAGTGTTACTTGGGTAAGCAGTAGTGGTGTTTGTGTGTGTGCTATTCACAGTGATGTAAACTCTATGTACCTGTCGTCTACGGAGCCACCAGCAGCTGCTGAGTGGGCTTGTTTGCTGCGACCTCTAAGGGGTCGAGAGCCAGAAGGCATTTGGAACCTTCTGTCCATTGTCCGGGAGATGTTTAAGAGAAGAGACAGTAATGCTGCTCCACTGCTTGAGATCCTCACTGAACAGTGCCTCACCTATGAACAGGTATAGTGTGACATGACATGAGCTCCAGCTGCTGAAAGCAAAGCACTGCACAAATTAGAAAACACAGACATGAGATAATCTGTGTTAATGTAGGAGTTGACAGTAGTGGGGACATAGAGTAATCTTCCTGTACACATGGCAGCAGACTTAATCTACCTAGCAAATATAGCATAGTGCTCACATTTAGAATTGTATTGCATTGTGTCACCTTTGTTGTAATTTTTGGTGAACTGGGGCAATGCTTGAAAGTCTCAAGGCAGCAGCAAAGGCGATGGTGCAGACATGTAAGGAGCATGTTGATGTGTTAGGCTATGCTGACGTGTGACACTAGATAATGTAGGAGTCATGGTTCAGTACATTTTCTGAACAACTCTGAAAAAAAAAATCTGCACAGTATCAGCTTGAGCAAAGCTTGGCATAAAAGTTTTCTTCTGCATTACATTCATTAATGTTTGTACCACAAATTCTTTGTATGACTGAATGTGCCGAACTGTAACATCCGTTCTGTGGTAGTTTAGGATGAATGTATGTACCAATACGCCCATACCTGGAAATATTTCTGAACTTCTGTTGTTGTATGTAGATGAGTACAAAATAATTACAGTAGGTGCTTGGTACATACCTTACATTCTTTGACTCGCACAACTAACCATTGTTTATGTGTGTTCAGATCATCAGCTGGTGGTATAGTGTTCGGACGTCAGCATCCCACAGCAGTGCCAGTGGGCACACTGGGCGCAGCAATGGCCAGTCGGAGGTGGCAGCTCATGCCTGCGCTAGTATGTGTGATGAGATGGTGGTTCTGTGGAGGCTGGCAGTGCTCGACCCTACAATGAGCCCCTGCAGGTCAGTACTTTGACTTTGGACTACATGTTGCTTTTTATCACCTACAGTGACTGTATTACACAACATATTTAAGATGCAAAATAATACAAAGAGACTTCAGATAAAAAGAAAGGCTGTGTATGCTCTCTTCTAGGCGTATGGAATTGGCAGGCCAGTTGAAGCAGTGGCACCTGAAAGTTATAGAGATAGTGAAGCGAGGACAACATCGCAAGTCCCTGGATAAACTGTTTCAGGGCTTCAAACCTGCTGTGGAGTCCTGCTATTTCAACTGGGAGGTGGCCTACCCACTGGATGGTATCACCTACTGCTGTGCGGATAAGAAGAGTGCCACATTCTGCTGGTCCAGGGCAGTGCAGCACCAGAGAGGAGTCAAAGCTGCTGCAGCAGGAGGTAGTGAATTTTCTGAATCAGTGGGAGGAGGCAGAGTTGAGGGTGGAGCTGGGGCAGACTATAAAGGAAGAGGAAGTGGTCACACCTTACAACAGGAGGTTGCAGTGCGACCAAAGGAGACTATTCTGAACAAGAGGAAGGGTCTGTCAGTGAGTGGAGGTGGGGGGGTACTTGTCCGTCTGGGAGGGAGCGTCTCACTGTCCCTAGAGGACGGAGGAGGGAAATGCATGTACAAAGGGCCAGGCTCCTCCTCTGGAGGGAAGCTGAAACTGACACAGGGAGGAGGGAAGGGGGCATCTGTAGGCGGTCCTGGAGGAAGTGGAGGCTTAGGGAGTAGCAAACATGCTAGTGCCAAGCGCAGAACAAGCAGTGAGGACAGTTCCCTGGAGCCTGATCTAGCTGAGCTCAGTCTAGATGATGGCTGCAGCCTGGCTCTTGGGGCTGAGGCCAGCAACACGTTTGAGTTCCTCCCTCCGCCACCAGAGATGCTGCCCTCTCCAAGCCCACTGCTCCGAGACTCACGCAAGTACAGCGGTAGCAGTGGAGGAAGCAAGATTTTTGAAACAAATCGTGTCAGTCATGCCTCAACTGCACTTGCTGCTGTACAACCGGCGGCACAGTGCTTCCCATCCAAGGAAACTGTGGTGGTTGTTATGGACGTGCCCAGCACTACAGAAACAGAAGCAGAGGTGGAGCCTGTCGAAACGAGAGATGAAGATGTAGACTCAGCTGGCAGTAACCAGCCTTCCACTTCCACAATGACAGCAACATCAGGCACCACTCAAACATCTGCGAAGCCTTCCCGTGGCCGCAGAGAGGTGGCGTCTAGTGGAGCAGCAGCAGGAAGTGGAGCTGCTGCTGTAGGTGGACCAGTTAACCATGGAGCAGAGGCAGCAGGTGGAGCTGTTGAAGGAGAAGCTGTGGGTGAGGATGACTATCAGGCATATTACCTGAGTGCTGCCTCAGAGGAAGGAGCAGACAGACAGCTGGTAGACAACCACCACGAGGACGAGCCAGACATCTTTGCAGGGATCAAACCGCTTGAGCAAGAGGGACGCATGGAGGTAAGGACGAAAGGCTCTGTTTTAAATCTGAGGTAGGCAGAAATCTGAAAAAGACAAAAACACCTAAAACAGCTCTTTCCTCTCCCCTGTGTTTTTAGCCCCTCCCACCAGATGAGCACATGCTCACACACAAATGTGCAAAGATATTTAAGCTAAAAGTCAACACTCATTTGAGGTGTCACACAACAGAGTTTGACTTCTCAGCTCCTACACCACCACATCTTGCGCCCACTGCTGACTAGGGATCAACAAATTATTGTCCTGACCGATTATTGAGGCGGGTGTTTTGCATTTTTGCGACTATTGGTATCATTATTTTTATTGACTGAATATCGCAAAATAAATTAAATGCTACTTTGGCTCTGATGCAGCCGGCTCTCTCTACTTGCAGGCATGGCAGCATTGTTCAACCACAGTGCTGTCTGATTAGCTGTTATATGTCATGAGCAACAGCCAATCACTGAAAGCCACTGATTACAGACTGGTACTGACAAGCCCATTTGCAGAGGAACAGCTCCCGGGAATTAGCAGAGCTGTAGTGTGGCTGTTAACCGGGAAAAGGCCTAATATCAGTCATCGGCCCTTTTCCATTGCCAATCATCAGTGTTGACGTTATCTCTGAAAAAACATCAGTTGATCCCTACTTCTTACTCTTTATACTACCTGCTCAGGGTGGAAAGATCTGTGATTGGCTAAAATGTCCTGTTACAGGCTAACTGGGCAAAGGGGGGGTGCAGAAGTCTAGTTTCCTCTCAGACACTTGAATTACAATATGCTGAAAGATTAGTATGGAATTTATGCTGAATGTTGCCCAAAAAATACTGCCTTCCGCCGCTCTCATGTACACACAACAGCAGGGGGAAAGTAGTAGATCTGAAATGCACAGCAAAAGGAACAAAATATGGAGTGTAATACAGATCACAGGGTGTGGTGACTAATAGCTACACTGTGCAGCTGGCCCATTCACAATGACACGATAACAAAAGGTCAACCACTGGAAAGATACCTCTTCTGGAAATCACACTGCAGGGTGGAACACTGTCAACACACACACCCAAACATGTTTTTTTCCACTGTTAATTAGACGATTACAAATATGATATAAATTCTTATTAAAGAGAGATAGTTGGGAATCTGTGGATCAATCTGTTGCTACTTCTACTCTGTTTCACATGTTAAAGTTTAAATCATGTCCTAAAATGTGACAAAGAAGCATTTGCTTCATAGTGCTTTTCAAGAATAAAACATGAACTAATAGTAATAATAATAACAATAATATACACTTATAAAATTAGGGTATTAAAAAAGTACTTTGACAGAAACAACAAAATCTGGATACCTTGATGGCAAACTAAGAGGAAGGCCAAAAATTAATCCATCTATAATGTAGAAAAGGTTTTCTTTTTTAATTCTCTCACGCCTCTTGTCAGGCATCCTTAAAATGATTGGGTGAAGGAATACAATGCTCTTGATTCTTTAACTGCATTTAGATAATTCTTCATTGCATTGTTCTAGACCTCAAAAAATACATGTAAACATGTTTTGTTTTTTTCATTTTCGTTACGTTCTCTTGCAGTCTCTGTATGTTTTTTTGCAGTGTGTTCATTAAGTCACGGCTGGAGAGTTCTATTTGACTTTTTGTCTTCATAGAAAGCAACAAATTCCAGCATAGTGTGACAGGTGTACTATAACTACAAAAGTAGTTCCTAAGTGTTAAAATTTGGATTAAAGGCAGTTGAAGAAGCAGCAGTCAAAAAGTCAGAAAATGTCCTAGCAGCCAGAAATGTAAAAACACGGCAACAGACAGGTGCACAACTGCTTTGAGAGCATACACAGATATTCTTAGTCTTTTAGTTGTTAAGGCTGTATACAATTAGCTCAGGGTGTGACCTTTCGTTTGTGTGGGTTTGTGTATTGTAAAGATTCCAAAATACTAAGACAGGCAGCAAACATGTATGCCAGCATTACCTTAAAAACTAATTTTGTAACACTTTAAAGTCAGCAAACTCAGATATAAAGACAATATTTGGTCTGGGAGTGTTTATCACTGGGTCTGTACAGTTTACAATAACGCCAAGATGTACCAGTGCCCCTGTCTGACAACTGGACTATTACAGGTGGGTAAAATCAGTGGGTTGCCTTAATAAGAGGGCTACAGTCTCCTTGACATAAGATTATTTACTGTTTACCTGTAATGAAATCATGACATAAAAAAGTATTGTTGTTTTGTTATGTTATTTAAAAGACCAAAATTTACAAGAGTGCAATTACAAGAAGGGTGTAATAAAGGGCTGTCACGGGATTTTAAACAATTTCCTATAATTAGCAGCAGAGGGGTGTAATAATGAGTGTGCTGCAGTCGATCTTGCGGTAGTCTATGATACCATTTAGATGTGATGGCTGACATACATGTGTAAGGGACAGTGTTGGTGACCTAACATTTGCTACCTTGCTGCTGTGCCACTCCTTCAGGGTACAGTCCATGTTTTCAGACAGCATCTGATGTACCCTGCTATTTGGGTAGATGCCATTACACAGATCGGCGGTGTTGATATAAGGTGTCCCAGTGGCAGCACAGTGGTCTTTTCACCAGGTGTGTAGAGCAAACAGTTGAGAAATTACCTCGATGATTCTTCTGTTGTGGATGGGAATCGGGCCTGGTATGACAATCTTGGGAGCAGTTTCCTGTAGTGAATTGAAGAGTGATTTAAAGTCTCATTTAAAAAACTGATTGTCCAACTGTGATGTCATTTGTTCCAGTGGAGATGATTATGGCGTTGATGTTGGAGTAGTTGTTGAGGATGCCAGCGAGTTGGTACTGAAAGTGCAGGATATGGACGTCAGGGAAGCAGAGTGTCTTTAGAGGGTGTTGATGTGTTTTTTGTTTGTTTGTTCTCTCAGTTTTTTTTTTTTCATTTGAGGACCGTGACTCGCTGGATAGATACTTTCTGGTGGCAAAATACTGAGTTACAAGGAGCCCATCAGTGCTATACAAGCAACTCATGTGTCTAAACCCATGACAGAGAGCATCATGCTGTCATGCATCCAAAGTCAGTGCATAAAAATGACAACTAACCACCTGACACTGCCATTTGACAAAGACTGTGAGAGAGCAACCCACGTTGCAGAAATGTCAACTAATTGTGACTTCAATTAAAACAGTGCAGACTTTTTTATTTACAAACCAAACAGACTGTTAGTGAGACCCTGACAGTTTGGGTTTAAGTTGTTGCACACAGCTGCCTTGAGATTCTCTTAAAAACATTTCTTATTTATAGGTTTAGATAATTGACTGAAACTTGATCTGTTAAAAATGTATTTGACTGTATGTTGCTTGCTCTTGTGCTTGTATCAGTCTGTCAAAGCCTTTTATTCATTTGTGTCTTGGGACTTGTCTTAAACTTTTTCTTGTGTGAACACTTGGGTGAATTTAGTGCTTGCTGAACAAAAACTCAGCAGCCCAGATCTGAAACCCCAGTGCCCCTCTTATTGATGCATTTTTACTGTTTGTGTGTTTGTGCGTGTGCAGGTGCTCTTCGCGTGTGCTGAAGCCCTCCATGCTCATGGTTATAGTAATGAGGCTTGCCGCCTGGCTGTGGAGCTGGCCAGAGACCTGCTGGCCAACCCTCCAGACCTGAAAGTGGAGCAGCCACAGACTAAGGTTGATGCAGTCACAAATCCCACCACCTTGGAACATATTCTCCTGTGTTCTGACATCTAATCTGTCCCTCTGTTGTACAGTTTCAGTCTTTCTAACTCATCAGTCATCATCTTTAACTGTGTAGTTGGATAATGAGTATTGGTTTATGGAGGAAAGCCACCAGAATCTTTTACTGTCGCTTTCATATTGACATTGTTAATGTGCCATTGTAAGTGAGCAACAAATGTTAACGACTGAAAAAATGTATACATTTTACATATGAATCTGCTTGTCAGAAGTGAAGTCTTGTTTCATCACTATTTATCCATTTGTTGGATTTAGGGTAAGAAGAGCAAGGTGTCAACCAGCCGTCAGACACAGGTAGCCACTAACACACTGTCAAAAGCCGCCTTCCTCCTCACCGTCCTTAGTGAGCGACTAGAGCTCCACAACCTGGCTTTCAGCACCGGCATGTTCTCCCTGGAACTCCAGAGACCACCAGCGTCTACGAAAGCCCTGGAGGTCTCCTAAACACACACACACACACACACACACACACACACACAGCCTGTATGCTTTGGTAGTTGAAAAAAATCCTAAACATTAATTGCAAAGGTTTTAGAGTTTTATTTTTAAATCTGTTATGTTGCATCAGCCATTAGCGACATTAGCATTTGAAGGCAGGATCTCCTGGCTCCTGAAAGGACTTTGATTATACTTAATATTCTGTGGTCATGATGTAGAGCTGCAACTGAAGAGGTGCAAAGAAATTTATAATACAAAGCTAATTAAGTAAAAAGAACAATACAGTTATACAGATTGTTGTGGCATAGTTCCTTTCAAATTTGCAATGGATTATGTGACATGCACTGAGGAAATTTTGAAAAATAGGGATGACATACAGCAAAGATTGCTGGTCAGACATTAATGATTCCATGTTATGATTGTTTCTTCAGCCCCTTGATCATTTTTTAGCAAAATCCAAACCCCATCTGGACATTTAAGGACACTGGCGATTGCTTTTCTCACTGTCAGAAAGAAAATTTTAAATGAAAATGAGAACCTTAGCGTGTGTACTGTTTGCTCTTTTCCTTAGCTCACCCATATTCTACCCAAATACATTTTTTAACTCCACTTATTGTCTAAAGTGTATGGTGTAGCCATAAGTACACGTACAGTCAGGTCCATGTATATTTGGACATTGCCACAATTTTCAGCATTTCGCCTCTGCACACCAGCACAATGTGTGTGTATATATATATATATATAT